ACGCAGGCGAATCCAAAAGATATGTAAAACAAAAACACTCACTTACTCACAATGATCTGGAGCATTATCTTATAGAAAAACTAAAATTTAGCTGAAATTTTTTGGTACTTTGATAACTAAGTCAATAATATGATTTTCTTCCAGACCACATTTTAAAACTTGTTTTTTACAATATTTCTCCACAAATCATTGTGACTTTGAAAAATAAACAAAAATATAGTTTCCTTCAAATATCTAAAGTTGATGCCGCTGCAGCGAATTCGGGACACACTGTATGCATGAAGCAATTATACTTTAAAATACTCCAAAAACTATAAAACTTTTGTATTAAACTTTTTTCTCTATCTCTTTGCATTTTTGGATTTAGTTGACTGACTTTGAGAAACTTCAATATCCTAACGCGCCAAGAGTTATTTATACCATTAATCTTACCGCTGGGCAAGCGAAAGCGAAAAGTAAAACATTCTTTCAAATTGTAAACGAATTTAATTCGGTATGGGACACACTAATTTTCATGAAAAGCAAATCGGGGTTTCCCTTGGTCCTTTCATTTTTTAATTAAAACATTTCAAATACTTATGTTCCATTTTTTGGCTCGGGAATCTTCATTTAAAAAATAATAAATTAAAATTTTCGGTTAATAACAAAAAGTTTTGAAATAATTTTTCATTTTCTTGCCATTAACCGCGATCCGAATGTTTTCGCAAAAAATGGGTATTTACTCCAATATTTATCTTATTGTCGTCAAATATGATTTTAGAAGAGAATTTTCTACACGTCCGAGTTTTAACGTTTGAAATTCCGGTCTATGCACCCATTTTAAGCATTTTCCGTTTCCTTCCGCAGCTTTGAGTGTTTTCTATCAGAGTTGTTTGAGTAAACTTAAAATCTAAAGTAACATTTTGGCGATATTAGCCTTAAAGGAGTGTGTGGTAATATAAAGTGTAAAGTGATGAAATAAATGCGGGATTTTCTCAAAAGGAAAAACCATAATTTCAATTCAGGTCAGAACGAAATTAATGATATTAAAATTATACTTTCTCCCGAGTAACTTTCTATTTTCTAAGTGGAATTAAAAGCTTTTATTTATGAAAGGGTTTCAACTGGATACAAATTTAGCGGAAATGTCACAGAAACTGCTCGATTTTTTAACGCAAACTTTGAAACGTTACACGGACAATATTTTAAATATTCCGTTCATTAATCTTATTATTGTGTTGCGCTATTTAAATGTTTTCGTCTGCATTAAAATAGAATAAAAAATCCATTGGGATTGTTTTTTAATTGATCCTCATCGTTTAAATCCGTTCCAAGAAGTGACAATTTCTAATTGGAATTCCTAAGCCTTCACTTTAACCCAGAATGACACTTGCTGAAAACTTCCTGCACCCCCGTAACAATTTTAATTGGCTTTCAGAAATGATGTTTTAGCTATGTTGGGATCATTTGCCGGATTAAACGTATCTCCTGCCATTTAAAATAATTTTAGTACGTCTATCTGCGGAACTTGTTACGAAACTATTTTTTAGCCCTTTGATAACGTTAAATTCGACATTCTAATTAATTAAAAATGGTTTGTTGGGCCGGGAAACGGTTGAACTTTGAACCAATTCGCAATACCTAATAATTTTTCGCCCCGTTAAACACAATTTTCGACCCTATATCAATTACTTCGTTTAAAATTGCCATTACGTAAGTTTAATAAAGGGAAGTTTTAAGATTATGTACCCCCTCAGAAGAAATAATTTGAAGGAAATGAAACAAATGAGGTCCTCATGAGGTATGAGCTTGTACGTTGCGCCTGCCTTGTAAAATACTTGGAGATCTCCCGCTAAGGAACTTGGATGTGCAGCAATTTAGACTCTATTTCTCTTCGCTAGCTTTGACGTTAATGTACTCTCCGGCTTTTGAAACGGTCACGACGAAAAGAGACTCTTCCACCTCCCTGCTTTTGCTTACTCGTCTCTGCTATAATCTGTTAAAGTTTGCTGGTTTTTGGTCCGCAATTGATAGTTTGCGTTTTCGGCATAAAAACTTGGCCCCTCCAGCTGCGAAGTATCCGTTTTCAACTAATCCGGACCTTTTGTGAAACTTGCACAGAACTTGTATAAATTATGTTTTCTCTTAACTCATTCCAAACATCATAAGGCGGGTGTATAAAAAGAATTGCTCAAAAATCCCGATTAAAATTAATATAACCTCGACATTTCGGTTTTTATTTGCCCACATTTTAACGTAATTCATTTGTTTTTTTATTTACGCACCATTTCAAAGCTCTCACCCCGTGCGCATTTTAATCGCAATACTCGGAATTTGGAAGTTGATCAATTATTATCCAATTTTACGTAAGTATTACTTGTCACAAAGAAAATACCCAGTAATGGAAGCGCGATAGATTGGCCGGACATTTGGAAGTAGTTGGACAAATTGGCGCCAAAATTTGGAGCTCGTGAGATATGAGCTTTCAAATGACCTATCGCGAGCTCGTTGTCGTTTAGAGGGATCGATGACGTCATATCAATAAAAAATTGCAAACGAATTGTTAGTTCACACAACTGTAAGGTCTTGGAAATGATTTCCTTAGAATGAACGGCGCAGAAAAATTGTTGTAACAACTCTTTTTTTATTCTATAAAAAAAATGTCGACCATCACTATAGCACAGTTGTAGTGTTGTTTGTAGTGGCGGAACCAATAGCTTAATTAATAAAATCACAAATAATTTTTACGGTTTTTGAAGGGATTATTTTTTGGTTCGACTTTCCTATTTTTATAGACGAATAATTTTGAGTTGGTGTTACAAGATTTTTTTTTAATTTGCAAAACTGTTTAATGCCACTTATTCCCAAAACTCAGTTGGTCGTCGCCCAATTTATTAGGTGTTGTCTATAGGCGTAGGTAATCTTTGTGTAATAAAAATATATTTTTTCCCTTTTGTTAATGCGATACTCATACTCATTTTTCACCGCTTGCCTGATATATTGCTTCTCATTATTCCTTTATGACGGGCTCAAAAAATGACACTTTAATTAGAAAGTAATTACCTCACACTTGATAAGTATATTTGTTTAGTTTGTTTGCTGTTCGTACAATGGCGCCACTATCAACTATCAGTAAGTGAAAAAGTTATTATTTTAAATTTACGTAATTTAATAAAATAAGATTACCAGAATTTTACTGTATAAAAGAAAAAAAATATTATAAAAAAGCAATACCCAGCCTAGTTAAGATTTTAATGAAGCTTAGCGAGGATTTAAATTTAGCTTTAACTTTTATGCACCGCTTTAATAAAAAATAAAATTATTTATAGGTTGTTTCTTAGTCAAATATATCATTCAGCAGAATGGACAACTTTCTCTATTAAAATTGATTTCCCGTGTTGAGTTTTTTCGTAACTAAAATTTATTTTTCGGTTTTTTGACAATATTTTGTCCAACGTAAAGCGAGTGTTTTATTCTTCCGATGGCAGTCTTCATCCTCATTTATTAGGGTTTCATTTCTTTATGTACTTCTCTTGGGCGACCTGATGGGACCCCGCTTATCCTGTAAAAAATGTTAACTATCCAACTCCATTCATATTAGAACACATTTCAACTCCGAATGTTGAGTTTTGATGACGAAGAACTTTAAACCCGTTCTTCTTCTTTTTATAAGGCTTTTGCCTTGTACCCTGTAGTCATAGATTGTCTGCTCGATCTTGGGAGACCATGTATTGCAATTTCGGCAGTCTCTGGTTCATCCGCATGATCTCTCCATTCGCGCCTTCTGTTGCGGGACCATCGTACAATATCAAGGACACCGCAAAGTTCTCTGATGTCTTCGCTTCTTTTGTGGTTTCTCAGTGTGTAGCCTGTTATAGATTTTAGAGTTTTCATCTCTGATATTTAGATGATTCATTTTGTTGTAGAGTTTTCCGCTCTTGTTTCTACAGCGTTTGTCATAACGAGTCTCACACAGGTCTTATATATGCGAGTTTTACCTTCTATGGTCATATGTTTGTTTCGCCAGATAATTAAAACTCATGACCTGCTCTACAGGTTCATTGTATATAGCCAATTTACGTTTTCTGTGCTCTTTTGATATCGTTAGTGATTTAGATTTTGCTACCGATATCTCCGAACGATATTTTCGAACTTAAAGCGCATTCTCTGTAGGTTGTCTTCATCTTCCGATATCAACACAGAATCGTCCGCATAGCAGATTATCTTCATTTCTTTGTTCCCTAGTCGGTATCCCTTTCCAAACTTCTTCACTTCAGATATTAGTCCATCCATAATCAGATTGAAAAGAATGGGGCTCAGGCTGTCGCCTTGTCTTATTCCTGTCTGCATGGGTATTTTGCGTAGCTTTCTGCCCTCCACTTGTATTTGGGTCATATTGTCGGTATTTAACTCAGCTACGATATTTATGAAGTCTGGGTGCACGTTCTTTTTCTTGAGAAGTCCCACAACATCAGGGAGACTTACGCGGTCAAATGCTATAGACTTTTCAGCAATCGGCCTGATCGTAAACATTGTTGACCAATATTTTCTAAAACCTTGTTGCTTTTCACACAGCCCACGAGAAGATATTTCGCCCGACACGTTCCCATTTTTAGAAAGCTTAGTTTTAACAATCCGTTTCTCAGCAACAAATTCAATAACGAACTTTTCAAGCGAGTGTCGGAAAGTAACTATTATTTTAATTTACAACACTAAGGCACAGGTAGGCCAACTTCCTATCCATCTAGGGACACTACTAGGCCTATTAAAGAGCTATAACTCTCCAGACAGAGTTAATAAAAAAATCATAACGTCAAGAGAAAGTAAAAGTATAAATTAATCCAAACCCGGGTAGTACTATACTTGAGCATACGTTAATATTCCAACGTGCCGAGCCAATCAGAAAGCAGAACCATCAATGTAATCCGAAGCGCACTTCGTTTGATATCGCGTTTAATCGTATAGCAGCCCGCCAATGTTAAACGGTTAATTTTTATTTTAGCTCGAAGACGACAGAATCAGTTGGGTTTTTGCCGATATAGCAAGCCTTTATTTGCTCTTGAAATCAAGATTAATAAGCGACTTATATTTTTTGTGATTAATTATTGATATTTATTTCAGGCCGTTTGCCTTTAAAATGGAACTTGAAAGGTAAATTTTTTGCTTTAATTTGATATTTCTAGGTTATGTTATGATGTCTTGTAATAATTTAATTTATAATTTTTTAGAAATAACTTGACTTGCCAATTTTGTGAAATGGAATTTTCAAGTACATCGACTAAAAACCGGCATATACGGACAAAACAATCTGACAAGACTATTTCTTTTTTACTTCGTACAGACTTAATTAAAGATTTAAATTCTTTTCATAGCCTAACTATTAATGAATCTACTTTGCATTTTAGGAATTTTGAAGAGTTTTCAGCTTGCAGGACCCAAGAGAAGAGGGAAGTAAATTATGCCTGCCGTACACGAAAAAAATATCAACACGGTGAAGAAAAAATATTTTTTGAGTGTAACAGAAGTGATTACAAAGGTGTTTATTAATAGATATGTGAGTAGGCATATAATGTCTCATATTTTTTTAAGGATTTGCCAGCTCAGCTAAAAAACGAAGTGTGAAAACTGGAGGTAGAATTCATATTCATGGGACACGTCATTCAAGAATTGTAGTTAACATTTCAACTGACGGTAAATAATATTATAATATTATTGTTATCTACAGATTAACTATATTTTTTTAGGATTTGTGACGGTAAAGTTTGTCGAAAAACATTTAGGACACACTGATAAACTAAGGACCAAGACCAAGACTATCGTCGAAAAACTAAGTGAAGATGATGTTACCCATTTTATTCAAGAAACGAAGCCACATCTCCATGTAGACACCATTGCATTTAAAGATAGGCGACAATTATTACGCGTTTAGTTTAATTTTCGATTTTCGTTACAGGTCATTTTGCAAGAAATGAATAGCTTTGCTCGCAACTTGGACGAAGGATGTTTTGGGACATTTGTAGATATTTTTAGGACATTTAAGAGGGACACAGAACAACGAAATTCCGACGAAAATTCGAAAAAAAGAAAAATTGAGAAGCAAACATATTATCCTGATAAAAAATAAGATAACTATTTATTGCATACTTTAATCAGTGTTTTATTTATTGCATAGTTTTTAATTAATAAGTAATAATTGTATGATTTTATAAACTTTAAACAGAATTAACACATTAACCAAAGTTTACTTGGTCGATGATTAACAACAAATAATCCAAGCGATCATACTTATGCGACATGCAATCTGTCAAGAAAGTAAGGATGGGTATGCGGATGCCAACTTAAACACCTCCGATTCGGTTTGAATTTGGCGCCATAGTCAAAACTAGCCGCCGCGTTCTGATTGGCTCGGCACGTTGGAATATTAATGTATGCTCTATACTTGCACTCGATAAAGGAAATAATTATGCAATTAAATTAATGCTAAACAATGGAAGTGGCTTAGATAATCATTGGGTCACTCTGTAGTTGCTTTTGCATACACCCTTTCACAAGAAGTCGAGAGACTATTGAAATATCGATATCGATTTTCTTATAAATGCCTAGCGATTGCTTCAATCAGTTTACAATATTTCAAACGAATAATATGGCTGAAATGAGATCTTGCGCTGCACGTTGGTATTGTGGGTGGTGTAAACGGGTATTAGTCAAGTAAAGGAGGAACTATATCAATAATGGCATTGTTAGAATTGTCTGAGGAAATTATAAACGGCTTTCGGTAAATGTTCTCCCCAATTTAGACCGCCCTACGTGAAGGGGGTAACCCATCGGATTGCCAACACCCCCACCCCTCCACCCTTCTGTAACGATTTTCTCCTTTGGACAGGTGTCAAATTGTTTGAATTTCGTTGGCGGGGTTTTTAAACTATATCGTAAAGTGATGAATAGATACGACGGCGACAGAAGAAAATCGGAATCGTCATATGCGTCCGTGCCGGCGGGAACATTTGAGAACCATCTGCGAAGGAGGTTCGCAAAAGTACAAAAGTAAGCTATAACAACGAACATGCGGTAGTTTAACGCGAGACGGAAAAGAGAGTGCAAAAAAGTCCAAGTTAGTGGAGCAACCAAGAGGTCCCAGACTATGCCACGCCGACTGTAATATCGTTCATATTACTTTTGTCGCTGTATTTATTTTTTTTTGCCCGGAAAAGGGAAGTGAAATAATGCCGCGTCGTGATATCGAACAAAAACCATATCCGATGTAGTTTGTCTAACGTTAAATTAAAATTATATCGCATTTTAGTGTCAGTTGGCGGTTGCGGATTTGTGGTTTTTGTTTTGCCACGTTTCGACGTTATCCGCGTGTTTACAGATTTTATTTTGTGGGTTTGAATCTGTGTGTATTCTCTTTCCGGGACTGACCTGGTTGTTTCGTTTAAGCACGGATAACAAGTCGATGAACGTAATAATAGACTTTAAAAGAAATCACACTAATGCATGTGGCTCGCGATGCAAAGGGGTTGCAGAGTGACGCAATGAATAGTTAAGCCACTTATATTGTTTGGTATTGGTTTAATTGCAAAATTCTTTCTTTTTGCGGAGGGCAGGTAGTACCACCCGAGTTTGTATCAATTTATGGATGAACATTAAAAATGGCGTGCTAAAGACGCCCCGGTAAGATACTCTTAAAACGGGAAGAATTATACTTTAACGGAAAATCACAATTTTCTTCGTCATCTGAGGAACTTTTGTCTACTCCTGTTCTTAATGACTAGTTTTCGCCAGTTCCTGGATGTCACTTCCTCAATGGGTTGATCAAACACGAGCTTACGGTCTTTCATTTTGAATGTCGTTTGGTGTCTGGCTATAAGTTCTATAGGATTGAATACTGTGTAGCACGTCTCAAGATCAAAGATGCTCTCTATCATCCTCGGCAAGCTCCATCCTCTTATCTAAGGTGGTTTTTTCTTTTTCAGAATAAAAATTAATTTTAATTTTTATAACATCTTCCTTTAGTCCGCCATAAAGGAATAATGAGGAGCGATATGTCAGGTAAGATGGCAAATACTGAAAACTGACAGCAGGGTCTATTTATCAGTATAGGATCAAAATTAATTTTATTGCAGTACTTTTTGATAAAACTTTGTTTTTTTCTGATTTTAAAATAAAAAATTGGCAAAATAAATAAGAACTAAAAGTTCAGATTTTCACGAAATTATATATTATGACATGACAATTGTTTCGACAACACCGTGTCTTTATCAAATGTTTGCCACCTCAGTTCAATTTTTAAAAAATTGGCGCTATGTTATATATTTAGCCGCAGTTTTTGAAAATAATTCCGTTATCTATAAAAATAATTTTTTAAATATTTGTACACAAAGAAAAGTATGTGTACAACTAACCATTTTCTTATTTATGAGTAATTCATTGTTTAAACATTATTAGGTTAGAATTAGAGTCCTGATATGATGTTTAAAATTATGACTTGAAATAACGGTAGAAAGTTAACTTTTATCTAAGTTTCATGGATATGTGAAAACCATAACCCCCTGAGGATATTAAAAAAATTAGTACATTTCTCGCTCTTAAACAGTCTGAGTCTTTTTTTCGCGGAATGCAAACCACTTTGTTGATTGAAATAGAAAGACTGAAATGGATGTTGGAGTTTTGCTTGTATGTGTTTGTGTGTTTTCTGTATAAATACTTGTTTCATTTTAAAAAGGTGCGTATTTTTATAATCCCCTGGTTAGGTCGACGTTAATGGTGAAAATAAGCCGCGCTTTATATAGTGTAGTTCGCCATTATACCAGTCAAAACGGAGGTGTTTTTATTTAATTCATTAAATGAATGTCTGGAGAGCGTTATCAAAGTCCCGCTTAGCTGAGGTATTTTAACTAAATTCTAGTGAAGTAACGCCTACGTAATTTCCTCAGGTTGATTAGGTTGATTAAGGAACAGCGTCTAAATATTAGCGTATACTTGTTGAATTCCAAAGTGTGCAAATTTTCCCTCGTTTCTCCGGCGATTGGTTTGCGCGTTCGTTTTTAAGAAATTATTATTCCCGCTTAGTTATGCGATTGAATTATTTATATCGTGCGGTGTGTGAAAATCTTCCCCGTTTGGTAAAAAGGACGTGGCGTCAGATCGGACTTGGGTGTCCGTTATTGTCGAGGGACGCACACAGTCACACATTCCCAAACATCGGAAAATCCTGATAAATGTCCGGAATTAATATCGCCGTTGATTAATGAACGGCTGGTATGACCGATCAGGAACTGGGTTGCAGTTATAGATTACCATACCGTATACATTTACTTCGACGCCGGTATAAGCGGACTTTTTATTGGGTTTCGCATTGTCGCACCATATCTCACGGGGATTTAGAAAAAAAATCCAAATCGAATTATGATCAATTAGATCCACCCATAATATATATGGTCGCATCGCTGCCATAGCTTTCTATCGGTTTATGACGGGTCATAGTTTTTGGTTAGTTATGGGTGCCTATCATGATATGAATTTCTTAACTTTAAAGCCAGATATTCAAAGAATAAAAATTATAGCTTTCTTGCGCATGTGCAATGACGCTGTTACTTGCTGCAGCCATTTTCAGTAGGCTATATAAGAAAAATCAACGGATTGGATTACATTGCCACAAGAATAAAGCCAAAAGTCATAAATTCTGATATCTTATAAACTACTGTGAAAGTCAGCGTGCACATACACATCAAAGACATTGAAGAATTTTTATTCAAAAGTGTGCCTCAAAAAAGTTAGTGGAAATATTATTTATAAAAATTTAAAACCTTTTTCTATTATCTGAAAGACATTGGAGAATTTTTATTCATAAGTGTGCCTCCAAACAGTTATTACATTAACATTATTTATTATTTATAAAAATCTAAAACTAAATAGGAGTGAGGTAAGTCGAGGTAGATCGTAAAAATTTTCCATCCAAGCTGGTAGTGCTTACCTGCTCAACTGAGGTTTTTGTTATGTTTTTTTTTGTCGTAAAGTGTAACAATGTTACTAGTTTTTTTGTGCCAGGTTACTCCAACGAATTAGCAGTAATCCCAAAATTTTGAATATTTTCCAACTTTTTATAGTTTTTATAGTTCAAAGATTAAATCTGACATATTTTTCGATTACCAGTAGAATAGAATTTTAATACTAGAACTTTTAATTGTAGATTTTCTTTGATTTAGCTGAGTTTATTTTGCTTGCAAATATTTATTTCCTGTTTATATTTTGCAAAATATTCGGATGGCAGGAGTATTCAAAAGGTATCATCAGAAAATTAAGGTTCGTTACGAAATGAATGGTTTTGCGATACGTAGTTTCGACGTAAAATAACAGGAGCAATAAAATTTAATTTTTTAGCAAGTTATACGGTGATAAAGTCGTCGGGGGTAACATTCTTCCTATCCGTAGCGAGCCTTAAATAATGATGAAAAATGTTTTAATTATGCATTCCCATATTATTACAAATTTAAGGCAAAAATTTGTGAACAGTTATCGCCCAAACTAATAATAAATCAACATTTTTATAGTCCGCAGCTTTTATTAAAAGCCATTAGTTTGGTGGCGTTTCTACTCTCGTATGCCCGACTGAAAGTGTAAATTTACGGGGTGCAAATGGGTAAATATCCTTTCCGGATGATTTTGTGATGCTGTATTTCTATGGACGATTGTACACACAAGACGCTAAACGTTCTTTCGAGTAGGGGCGGGAAAATCGTTGCAAAATGGGCCTGTTTTTTTTATTTTATTAAAATGCTCGAGTTAAATCAACTAAACGGCTTTTCCTATTTTAGCCGGCCTTTTGATTAGTGGCCGTATTTATTTTTAGTCGATAGTGTTCCGTTTTAATCATTAAGAGTAAGTTTCTCTTTTGAATTAGTCAAATTAAAGAGAGTGGATTCAATCGAAAACTCGTTGCTTTTCCCCAAATAATCGGGTTGTTTAGTACATTTTGTTATATCTCGTTTCAGCAAAATACCCACAAATTGACAGCAAATAATTTGACCCAGGTAAGAACCCCGAATTCGTTAAGCAAGTAGCGTCAATAATGGGCTTTAACGGTTATGTTTGTT